CCAACTGATACTCTTTCCTCTTGAAGATAAGAAGCTCAACAGTGCTCTGCAGTGGGTTTGTAACGCTATTACAGCATCCATCTCTTATACCCATAATGCTGTGGGAAGAATACCAAACGGACCAGGATCCTAGTGGAAATACTTTGTCATATAAATTAAAACACATTTAATGCATCTACCTATGTATATTGCTAAGTAAACAATGTACTGTGCAAGGTACTTTATGCAATGTATTTTATAAAATGACCATTAGATTTTTATGAAACAGTGGTATGAGAGTGAATGGTTGTCTCATTTGTCTCTATGTGGCCTTGTGATGGACTTGCGACCTGTCCAGGGTGTAGCCCACCTCTCGCACAGTGACTGCTGGACATGGGCACCAGTGACCCCCGCGACTTGAAAAGGAAGAAGCGGGTAAAGAGAATAGATGGATGGATGGTATATGACACAAAATATATGTGAAACTACTTTAAAAATACCTGCACATCTAAAGACAAAGAGAAGAAACCCACCAGAAGACGTCCTAGTATCTTGTACTAACATTTGCTATGATTTCCACGGTTTCCGGGGCAGCTGGGGCTGAGTGGTTAGAGCAGTCAACCCCCAATGGAAGAGTTGAGGGTTCGATTTCACTAGCCATCACATGTTGAAGTGTCCCTGGGAAAGACACTGAATCCCTCATTGCCTCCGATGTGTCCCATCAGAGTATGAATGTGATAAAGCACTGATTAGTCTCTTTAGAATGATTTGTTCAATTAGCTTTGTAGAGATCTAGTAGAGCGCTGTATGAATGGGTAAATGAGGACACAGATTGTGTTGTAAAGCACTTTGAGTATCTTTAATAGATAGAAAGATATATACATATATATATATATATATATATAAGTGCAGTCCATTATATACCATTTCAGCCATGTTTCCCCCCACCCTGTATGATGAGTTAATGATGAAACTGGTGCTGAAATCAGCCCTCGTCCGCGGCCAGATGAACCTTGACAAGATATTTTTCCTGCCCATGAAAGAGTGTGCCAGTCAGGCGGGAGTTCAACTGATACAAGATGTCAACTCAGACGGGTCTCTGTTCTGGCTTTAGTTTTTATTCTGCAATAATCTTTGTTGGGGTTTCTTGTTATTGTGTGAATGTTTATGAAGCGTTCAAACTATTGTGGTTCATTTTTCTTCAGTACGTTTTTCAGCACGATTCTCATCCCACAGTTTCCAATCTATTTCAACAAATCATATATCAAATCGTTCAGCTCTTTCAGGATAATCCTCTGACTTTTGGTATCGGTGCAACTTTAACTTAGAAATATTTTGCCTTATCTGTCAATTTTTTTCTCATAGAAAATGAATTGAGCTCATTTTCCATCCTTTAATCTTTAGATCTGTTTACAACCCTTTACTGCTGCTTTCACGTTTTGTTCTGGTTCAGCTTCTTTCAGCTTCCTTGTGCAAATTTAAACATTTTTTCAGCTACTTTCAGATAATTTCAGCTGTTTTTTTTTCAGTTGTTTTGTGCTACTTTCAGATTCTTTCTGCTAACTACAAAAAATTTTGTGCTTCTTTTAACTTCTTTCTGTTAATTTCAACTTGTTACAATCCTTTCAATTTATTTCTCCTAGTTTAGATTTTCCTACTATTTCGGCTACTATCGAGCTGTTTTATGCAAATTTTAGCTTTTTCAGTTAATTCCACATTTCTTTGCACTCAAAACTATTTTCTGCCTAATTCAGCAAAAATGTGTTCTCTTAGTTTTGTTCTGCTTTTTTAGTTACTTTTCAGCTTTTTTTTTTATTATTATTTTTTTATTTCTGCTTTTTTCATTATGATTTAGTTGTTTTTGTTGTGTTTTTTCAAATGTTCATTTACACTTTTGGGCCACCGTACTACTTTTCAGATAATTTCCACTTTTTGTGCTCATTTGTTTCATTCAACATAACTAGGCAAACCTGTTCCTTTTTGCTTTATGCTACTTTCAGCTTGTTCTATATTTTCAGCCTCAATTTTTAGCTAATTTCAGCTGTTATAGTAAAGTATAGTAATTTCTGCTCCTTTAAGCTTTTGTCTGCCAGTTTAAATGCATTTCTGTCTTTTCAGCTATTTCAGCTATTGTTTGCTAATTTCAGCTTCCTTTTTTTTTTTTTTTTAGTTAATTTCAGCAATTTTTTCTGCAAATTCTTCAGGAACAAACATTCACACTGTATTTTCTCTAGAAATGCAATTTCTCTAGTTTATTGAGATTTTGTGCAGTTTGGAGTTCAGTCCTGTTCTTGTACCACCTGAAATCCTGAGCTGTTCTTACTTGCAGCTCTTTACACACTCCACCTGTGTTGCGTTAGTAATCAGCACACCCGTTAACATTCAGTAATCTCCTCTCTCAGTACTCCCCGGTTTTCTCAGTTTAGAAGGTTATGTTGTTTTGGCGTGTAACGTGTGGCCCTCTTGTTTTGCCAAATTTTTCTTAATGTCTTCCAGTTGAACTTTTGCTGCTTTGCATGTTGTTTCCATTCATTTTTGTAAAATAGATAAAAAAAAAACTCTATTTTAATCCACAGAAATATGGAAGTTGAGAAAACTTCTTGTAAGTCTGGCTCACGGTGTACAGTTTTGTCATACTATGAACAGCTTTGGCGTGTCTGTGGTGCAGTGCAGCTGACTTGGGGCCAGAAAGTTGCGAGTTCAACTCCCTGCCATGCCCAACTTGGTGTGGTGTTCTTAAGCAAGACACCCATTCCATGGACTTTAAAGCAGAGGACACAATTTCCTCATTGTGTTGGAACATACATGTGACAACACATAGCACTTTCTTTAAATCAACTTTAACATATTTGTTATTTAATTACAAGAGAAAATCTTTATTTTTTCCCCTAAATTCTAACAAACATCAAAACTAGAGTTACTGCTCAAAACTTCACAGAGAAATTAAGGCCCTCCAACTACATTTAAAACTTTGGTAGGTTCAAACTGAAGCTGACAGGATGTGGACGCACGCTGCCCTCCTTTGGATCAGCAAGCTCATTGCACATCAGTTCATATCGCATCCTTTCCAACACATGACCAGCAGAAAACACATTTTCCATTCAAACAACTGGATGAATCCCGTTGTTTGCTGAGTCACCACAGAAACCTCGTGTTCCCTCCCAAAAAGGATTCTGCTGTGGAAGACGAGCACATGATGGTGGGAGATTCTAATCCCCCCCATCATAAAGAGAACAAACTTTACATTCTGACAAAACAAAATGACAAACAGCAAATGTTTCTGCTGCATGTGACAATAAAACACTTACAGTTCATTAAAGCGGTGCATCCATCTATTATTTTTTACCTGCTTCATCCATTTGGGACCTGAGTGAAGTTGCACCCCCACCTTTACTCAAATCTAATAAAAATGGGGTCAAATGTTTGTGCTACATTTGTGCAGCAACCATTTGTGCTGCTATCATTTTAAAGATATTAATAAAAAAGTTTCCAGAGGTCATCAACGGTCAATGAAAAGCTGTTCATGTTGACACTTTGAATTTCATTTGGTTAGGGGTTAGGGTTAGGGTTGGGTTAGGGTTAGGGTTAGGGTTGGGTTAGGGTTAGGGTTGGGTTAGGGTTAGGGTTGGGTTAGGGTTGGGTTAGGGTTAGGGTTGGGTTAGGGTTGGGTTAGGGTTGGGTTAGGGTTAGGGTTGGGTTAGGGTTGGGTTAGGGTTAGGGTTAGGGTCGGGGGTGGGCAGAAGAGGCTGGTTGACCCATTTATCTTTAAACTTTCAGTAATATGTTCAAAGCAAACGCATCACAAACATAGTAGAGTTTATTGACACCAATTTTTTTTTTTGATTTTGTAAATGTGGAGGGCTGGTCGACCTCTGATGATCCCTGGAAACTGTTTTATTAATATCTTTAAAATGATAGCGGCACAAACGAAACTTTTTGCTGCACAAGCCAGCGACAGCAATTCTGTTCGATTTGAAGAAGGTGGGCGGGACAACGTCAGGCAGGTGATACAAATTAGTCTAACATGCATGTTTTTGGTCTGCGGGAAGAAGTTCGAGTACCCGGAGAAAACACACGCATGCACAGAGAGAACATGCAAAATCCATCCAGAAAGGCCCCGAGCCGGGATTTGAACCGGCGACCTTCTTGCTGAGCGGTGACAGCTATACCAACTGAGCCATTAAAGCAGCGCAATAAAATGCACAGTTAGACCTGAGTGACACATGAATGCTCTTTTTATTGTGAAAGAGTTTTTAATATTGAACATTAGTGCAAACAGACTCATCCTCCAACCTTTTACACGTTTTATGATCTAATACGTGATTTCATATTTTGCTGCTTCAGTCTCGGGCTGCTGGTTCATCCAAATCACATAAAACTTTTTCATTTTTTAATTTAAAAAACAAAACCATCTGAAATGCCAATTGATGATCAAATCAAAAAGAGAAAACATTTGCTTTGTGTAATCTCGATGAACTGACCCTTAAATGATCCTTTGTGTATTTCAGCCGTGTTCCTCAGACGGTCATGGTGACGGCTAACTCTGTCCTGACTCTATTCATCTCAGAGTGTTTGTTGTTCGAATTGATCGTTTTTGTCCTTTACAACGACAGAAAAAAAAACTTCCTACGCCATCCAACAAAGTTGAGTCAGGTCATCTGGATGGTGTTGAGATGTTTCATCCATCATCCAAAGGACTTCATCAATCTGAGGAGCTACAAACGAACTGTGTCCTACAAGCAGCACACTTCCATAGTGGACCAAACAGTTTGCTGGTGATGAGATGGTTTCTGAGGCCCACCCTCTCTCCCGTCAACTCCTCCTCCTAGAGGGACGGCCCCCAGAAACCATCTTATCACCTGCAAACTGTTTTTTTTTCCACTATGCAGTATGCTGTTCGTGGGACAGTTTGTTTGTGGCTCATCAGACTGATGAAGTCCTTTGGATGAAGGACAAAACATCTCTCAAAATAAAAGAAAGAAACCATCCAGATGACCTGACTAAACTTTGTTGGATTTTTTTTTTTACCTGCATTATTGAGCATGAACCTTGATGTTTCTAAGCCATCATTTCTAACCAGACCAGATGATTCATGGAGCTCATAGTCCATTTTTTCCATCAAAATTCAAACTAAAATCAAAATAGTTTTTGGCCAGTTCATGATTTTGTGTTTGGTGCAGCAGTTTTCTTCACACTTATTCCCTGTGCAGCACCATGATGATAAATTTTCTCCTCAGACATTTATAGAAAATGCACCATTTTGAGGTAAATGTAATGAAAGGTTTTCAGAATACACAGATCTCAGACCTAATGTTAAACAAAATAATAATAATAAAAATAATAAAAACATAGCGTGTCATCTATATAAAAAAACATCCACTCCAGGATTCAGGTTATTGCTTCTTGAAAGTCCTCTTTGCGTCTACACCCTCGTAGTTATAACTCTGCAGGGGAAAGACAAAGACATGGTTGATGTATGGTGATGTCGTTTGAGCAAAACATGCCATGACTGTATATTTTTTGCATAGACTTTGAATTTCTCAACTACAGCACTTTACATACTGACCTGCACAAGCTCTCCGCCCACCAAAGTTCTTGTGGTGGTCAAGACTTTGTTGTTGTCCTTCCTGTTGAATTTCCCTTTAAGCGCCTCACCCTCCATCTCCCACGTTCCCTGGTAAAAGTAAAACATGCACAGGGGCTATGAAGCAAATATAAAGCGTCTTCCTATAGCAAGCCGATAATAGACATTGAGCTGCGTCTTCGCCTTAAACTGTACGGCGCTTTAGGACACTCACTGTGAGTTCGGTGCCGTCAGCCATGGCGTAGTCGAATGGGACGCCCAGGGTGAAGTCGATCTCTTTGGTGCGAAAGGTGCTGGACTCCTTGATGTGAAACTTGTCCCCGGTTTGCTCGATGATGATCTTCAGGTTGTCGTGTTCGGCCAACTTTCGTTTCATGACGTTGATGCCTTGGAAGGTACGACCGAGACAGTTTATAAGCAAGACGCTAACAAAAGCCTTTTAGTTTCTTACTGATCAAAGTCAACAAACTGCTCTGCAGCTTTTAGCACGGTCTTTCTTAGTCGAGGTATTGCAGGATTTGGGTCACCTTTCCGATCTCCCTCACTCACCCAGTTGCTCCATAAACTTGTCGTAGTTCTCGCTGTGGTCGACCTTCCATGTCCCATTGAACGCCATGGCTGCAGACTCGTCCGGTAGTGCTGAGGCTCTGGAAAACCCTGAGACTGGTAATGCCTTCTGTCTAACATTTATACACACCCCTCCCCTCAACCATCCACACCTCCTCCCTCCTCCCTCACTGAGTTGGCATGGAAGATACTCTTCTTTATCTCCCTGATTATCTTGTCTGCTGATGTGGCCGTCAAATGTAGGGCGATTGCTGCCCTACCTCGAGGACACGCTGATAAATAACCTTAGGGCGACTCCCCTCTGTGAATCTGGCACAGCTGAACACTGTAACACTGTTCTGCAGGATGGAAAAAAGAACACAAAAGAGTGAGTTGTTTGTATCGCTGCCAATGGGAGTCACTCAGCTGAGCCCCCCTCTGTGTCCCTCAGTCCTTTCTTTGTCGTTGTTTGTGCCTGGCATGGAAATGACTGATTGATAGTGACAGCCTGGGAGACTCTGAGAGGTAGCGGACCCCAGAAAGAACAATATAAAATCTTTGATACCTGAAAGTTTTTATTCTTTTAGATTAACGAAACAAAAAGATTCCCTCAGCATACAAGTTTGACCTGAGTCATACATCTGAGAAATTTTTTGTTTCTACCTCAAACACTGTATGTTTGACGTACAAATATAGTACAATTTACCAACATAACACAGTTCTTGAGAGAAGTGAGCTACCATCTGAGGCATTTCAACTCTTTAAGAAGGTCCACCGGCCTATAAAGACCAAATTTAGTGTGCATCAAACTGTAGATATCTTTTTTGATGTTTATCAAATGTGGTCTATTCTACAAAAAAACTGAGTAACTAATCCTGGAGTGTACACAAGACGATTTTGCCATAAAAAGTGTGGTTAAGTAGACCAAAATGGGACAAACCCAGAATAAAATCCAAGATAAAAAAGCTGATTAGAGCAACAATCCAAGTAGTTGACAAGTGGGGGAAGAATGACACATGAGATTGACGGACGGATCAGAATGCTTTCGTAGTATTACAAACTTTGTGGCGGTCTGATGTGGTGAAGATGGAGCTGAACTGCAAGGCGAAGCTCTTTGTTTACCTTTCAGTCTAGCTTCCAACCCTCACCTATAGTCAAGAAATTTGGGTAGTGACCGAAAGAAGAAGAATCTGGATTCAATTGGCGGAAATTAGTTTTGTCCACAGGGTAAGTGGACTCTCCCTTAGAGATAGGATGAGAAGTTCAGTTTTCTGGCAGTGGTTCAGAGTAGAGCTTCTGCTCCTCCACATCCAGACAGTTGAGGTGGTTTGGGCAGCTTGTAAAGATGCCACCTGAACACCTCCCTAGGGAGGATTTCCCAGCATCTCCACCTGGTAGGAGACCCCGGGGAAAACTCAGGACATGCTGGAGAGACGGTCTCTCGACTGGCCTATGAACTCCTTAAAATATCCTCCCAGAAAAGCTGGAAGAAATGACTCTGGGAAGACATGTCTGGGCCTCCCTGCTCAAGCTACTGCCCCCATGACCCAACTCTGGAGCAAATGGATGGATAGATGGAGGCAAGAATCCAGTGGTGTATGTAGTGTATGTGATACGTGGGTATGTAGAGTATACCCACTAGAAAAGCTTGGGAATTTCAGTATACCCACTTAAAAGTGCCCAATGGCACAAGCCCATACATGACATGGGTTTGTGTCATTGTCAATACATTTGGAACATTTTATAGACACACTGAGTTGGTTCAACTGTTTTTTGTATAATCAACACTTCTATACTCACTACTTAATACTTGAACATGTTTTGCTTTGGCACTGTTTTATAACCAACAAAGTCCATGTTCAATAATCCAGGTATACAATCCAACATTTTTCAGTCAGGTCATCTGAACAGTTTCTTTTTTTTTTTTTGTGCTGAAACGTTTCGCCTTCGATCCGGAAGGCTTCATCAGTCAAGGAAACGCACAACAAAACTGATTCTTCCCCCAGCAGTTTACTCCAAAGTGGAACAAACCAGTTCTGCTTGTGATAAGATGGTCTCTTTGGTACGCCCCCTCCTGTTTTATAACTTCTATACCATGTTTTTAATACAAAGCCAACTGTGGTACAAAGTTTGTTGTACATTTATTCAAATAAAAAGCATCAGAATTTTTTTAAAATGTTCAATATGCTTAAAAATGAAAAATAAATTAATGATTACATTGTACTAACCGGTGTACTTTGGTTTCTAAGGACAGTATACTCCCTAACAAAAATGTAGACTACACCACTGCAAGAATCCAACAAAAGTGTGGCATAACATGACGTAAACAGGAGTAGCAATAATAATAATAGTTTTCTCTTCTGTTTCTTTAAGACTCCCCCCACACCCCCTCCCTGAAAGGCCCAGTGTATTCTGATTGGTCATAAATAGTGGAGTTAGCTACATTCTGTGGTGTAATGAATGTGTCTCAAGATGAAGTAGTTAAAAAAAAAATTTAAAAGCACACTAACACACAAAACGGTTGGAGGATCTTAGGACACGCTTACATTTTACATCTTTACATGCACAAAAAGCTTCAAATCTGATGAAAAGTCACACTATATAAAGTGATTCACATGAACTGAGCTGTCTGCAAAAACTCGCAGCTTGTCATGTTTGGCCCATTGAGCTCCAGGAGTGCGACCTCTTTAAGCGCCTGAGGGTGGTTGTAGACTACTGAGCAGCTTTCCCTTCAAAATATATCAATTTGTGTTTAAGATATAAACTTCTCGGCTCATGCAACACATATTTTCTTGAAACATGACAGCAAAAAGTAGTTTATTTAAGTGTAGTACAAGTATACTTATTTTACACTAAAAATGAGGAAGTGTACTTGAAGTTTACTTTTTGTAAACGTTATTTAATTTACTTAAAAATAGTATAAAAATGTCCCAATTTAGTCCAAACAAGTATTAAATCGGTATACTTTCTAGTACACTAAAAGTATGGTGTGTAGTATACTTGATATACTTATACTTGACTTAAAGTATACTTGCAAAAATGAACTTCAAATGTACTACTTCTTGTTAAATAATGTGGCTTGTCAACTGTGTTGGATGCCATTCTCATTTAACTGCATACATTATCTTATTTGGTGAATTTGGGGTATTTGATATTCAGTGTGGCAAACACTACCCAAACATTAAAACCACAGTAACATTTTCATCCCCAGAATGTTATTGGTGAGGACCAGTGGATTTGGAGTTAAACTAGAGCAGGCCTGTTAGGGAAAAAAACAGCAACATTACTTGTATTGTCCATTAAGAACTTGCCATTCCTCTCACGTCCCTGGACAATGGGGCACTATATTGTATCTGCATTCTTGGGAGGGAAAGCTGTGCCCTCAGAGCTGAACTGTGGGGTTATGGACAGGAATACTGATTACAATGTTCACACCACCAAAAAAAGGGCCTCTTGGTTGCCATGAGATTATTCTTCCAGTAGAGATGGGTAAATGCAACAGAAAGATGCATAATCATACATTTCAGGTACATTTAGAAATGTTTTTTTTTTTTTTTCGAAAAGGGGACTGAGCAGTTTGTTTAACAGAATGAGGAATTACCGCTGATGTCATCGACAGTGAATGTAAATACCGGTAAACAAGGTTATGTTAGGGTGCATAGGTCTAAATAAATCAACATAAATTATTTTATAAGAATAAATACCAGCGCATAGTTAGTTGATGCTACCGTTGAAAAAAGCCAGATTGATGCAATTTTGTTGAATTTGGAAAAAGCTAGGGCGATTGATTTTTTAATGCTAGGCTAAGATAAGCTAACTGGTTAGTTTTTAATTTCATTTAATGTAAATTTCTGTACGCTTCCGTAAGACCCATGTTTGATAGGCAGAATGATTAAAATAAGTCTAAATATCAATTGTTTTGAAGTTATTAGTTAACACAGTTTTATTACTTTTGAAAAGCCAAACTGGCTAAACTTTCGTTCTTAGCTAAGCTAAAGTAGCATGCTACTGGTATGGAACAAACATAAAAATAACGTAAATTAGTATAATATCATTTAGTGCAACTGTTTGTGTTGTCAAAGAACAACATATGATTCAGAACATTCAGTTATTATCACATATTTACACATACTTAATGGATATAATCATGTAACTTGTGGGAAAAGCTAAGTTAGCGGAAGCTTCATGCTAAGCTAAGCTAACTGGCTTCTAGTTATTAAAAAGACAACTAATTTAGGATTTATTTAATTGAATACAACTTTGGATTTTTGTGTAAAATTAGTGCATGATGGGCCGTACGGGTAAAATATGTCAATACATTAACTTTTAAAATATTCATGCAATTTTTGGGCTTTTGTAAAAAAATCTCTTTAGCCTACTAGGCGAGCTAACTGGCTACATGACATAACTAGCGAAAAAAAGGAAAAATTGTCATTTGTAATATGAAAGTAAATGTCTATATTTTCCTTAAATGATTGGTAAGATGACCCATTGATTATTGCCTCATATTGGAAGTATTTTGTAACTTTGTTCCCTCTGAAACACCCAGCCTGCTGACTTTTTATGCCAAGCTAAGCTAATCGACCACTCGTTATGTAACAACCCTCCTATAAAAATGACATATCATTAAAGTCACTGAGTGTAAATGATGTCAGAAGGTAATATGTTTGAGTCTGATTATAGTCATATCTCATCTTTATAATCTTTTTACAGCTGTCAATAAGACAATGTGTACTTTGACTTTTGATTGGGCTAATTATATCTGCTTTTTATACTTATGTAATTACAACGTTTATCTAAATAGTGACCACAGAGACTGGTTGGTGTGTAATAAAAGTTTTTTTATGCTTGTATGGGCATATAAAAAAATCTAATTGGAAAAAAATGGAGCATGCATGAAGTGCAATTGTGTTGTAAAAATCCCTGAGCTCAGACTGTAAACACCATCATCAGCTGACGGCTCGTTACTGCTTCAGCAAATGCAAGTTAAACCTTTTACCATGCAAAGTAAATACAACTGAACACGATTAGCAAACACCACCTGCCACTGTCTGTGGATTCTTTGTTAGAGTTGGACAATAGAGTTTACCTTTAGCTTTATGGTTATGTGCGTTTGTTTGCATGTTTTTCATGTAAACATTTGTTTGGTTCATTTTTGTTCTTTGTTCAGACCTGTGTTTTGGATCCAAGTCACTAAAAATGATGCTTGTTCTTCGTCTGCTGTGTTTGAGTCCTCCTCTTTCATCATGAAGTTCATTTTGGCTGAAGCA